AGAACAAACATAGGAATTGATTTATGTTAACAAAATCTATATGGTTTCATTAAAAAAATGAAGGTGATTTTGAAAATATATTTCATAAAAGAGAAAGATTTACGGAAAAGAAAAAAAACGTCTTATTTATGGACACTAAATTATAGTGAAGCAAAGTATTGAAAAAAAAAAATAATTTGAATTGATCCAGTAGAAACGGAAATAATTGAAGTAATAAAAGTATGTTGTCTACCCTATATATAAATTTAAAATGATTACCTCACTTGAGATGTAAGAAAAACACGACGAAATGTGAAATTACTTAGGCACGTTCTTTGTGGGTATTAAATATATATATGATGCTACAATCACACCATTCAAATTAACGCAATGTATGGAGCACACAAAATTTTGACAGATGTGACTAAAGATAATCTTTGTGTGAACAATATTTTTAATTGCATTTACCGATACAGGAATAATAACAATTTATTTCACTACAGGGTATCATCATTTGAGATGAGACTTGAAAAAATGAGTATTGGCCAAGAAATATCAATCTTAGACCATTGTACCGTAGAAGGTTTCGATTTAGCGAATGCGCGGAGGAATATTTCGTCCGACAACGGCCCCGCGTGAGTCGGTCAACTGTTATATAAGCGATATTCTTCTTAATTCTACGTGCTGTTAACATAATGACCAGCGACAGAATCGTATAAGACTTCAGCGACGTCATCTCTAATCGAATTGCGAATTAGACTGAAATCCATTTTGGAAATGTTGAGGCATCATTTCGCTCTTGAGTAATTGATCAATGGCCAATTTTTCACAGGCAGCAATACCTTTTGGTGAGACGGTGGTGTCGACATAATATTTAATGTGTTTGCATTTGAGAAATGAACGGTCCTAATTTGGGCCTTTTTCAACGCAAAATTTTCGAAATTATATGCTGTCACAATGATTATTGTGAAACATAAAAGTATGCCAAATTAGTAAAAGTATAGATACTCACCATGTTAAAAAGTAAAATGAGCATCTAGTCTTTATGAAATATCTGTTACTAAGTGGACATATTGGCTTATCAGCAATAAGCAAGAGAAAGCGAGACATTCGTGTGTAACGCGAATAGAACCAATGAATAAACAGTCGACCGAAAAACGTTCGTTTTTTAAATGGAAACAATTCTCTCTCATATTGTATCTGCGATTTGACTCTTACTTAACTTTTGTTTTTCATTTGATTGAAAATCCTCATCGAAACGCTATAAACGCGCGTCTAAATGCGCGCGCACGTAACGTCGCTTATCATCGAATTTACAACCGTCGCGACTTTCGCGAGTGATGTGAAGAAAATTGCGAGTCGGTTTCTCGTCTCGACACGTACGAAATCCGTCACAGTTTCCCTCTTCGGCCGTATCAGAGTACGCGTGCGTCTGCTTTCTCCCCCTCTCCCATTGGCGCAGGATTCATCATTCGCACACACACACACCATTCCGATACACCCCCATCGTACGAACCCCCATTGTTGTGATCATCTCCGCGCGACAACGAGCGATCCTGGACTCACCACCGTGGATACGTGTCGCCAGGCCTCGAGGTTCGTGCACATTATACCCCAATGCAGAAGCAAGTAGACGACGAGGAACAGGCTGGACAACAGGAGGACGGTCGCGAGCTTGTAGTTGTACATGAAACCGGGCAGCCGGCGGACGTTCATGATTCGGTCAGCCTCTTTCCCGGGAGTCCAGGTAACGAGATCCACCTACTCTCTCCTGACCCTTTTCGTCGGCCCGGCCTCCTCGTCGTCTTCCACGGCGTACCTCATGTTGTTCGCGCGCTACAACTGCAGCGGCGAACGCTTGCAGCAATGCGGCATAATCTGCGGTAAGCGCGAGAGCGTCGCGACGCTGCGCCTCTCGCGGCGGATCTCCCGATTCGTCCGCACGGCCGTGCCTCGACGATTCATCTCCCCGCGTTCGATCGCATTTTTACTTGTGCCGGTAGTCGGATCTAATATTTCAAGATCTTCGTTTCATTCGGTATTCATAGTCGGATCTTATATTTAAGACCGTTTATCTTCCAATGCTCATCTCATTGGTTATAAAGCATCTGAACAGGCCATTGACTACGAAGCGGCTTGAGACTGAGTTAATAAATGGTTGACTGATTCAATTAATCGACGCACATTTTCCTCAATCATGTGTTATCTGTTCTGAAAATTCTCATTCGTCGGTTAGTTTGGCGAAATAGTTCCAACTAAATGTAAGATGAATGCAATAATAAGGTGAATATAAATAAATAGCAAAGCTTGATATTTATTTTGTATCTATTACCGAACAATTTACTAAATAAGACTATTTTATTTAGTAATTTTATCATTTACATTTTATTAATTTGAGCTCCCGCTTAGCCCGTTTTACGTTCGTACGTACGACGATGTCAACTTATCAATAATTTTGAATAGAATGTTTATTACGCGTGATTTTACCTAACAGAGCTGTTATACACTGAATACAAGCGATACTGAGAATATTCAAATCACATCGTTATAAGCGCGTTTCACTAAAACTATCCGTTTTATGGTAGATTCATTAATTTAGTAACCGATTTATTTAAGAAATTAATACTTTGCGTCCTTGTTATCCTTTGTAAAATTTCAGTATACCCATTTGATTTCAGTAACAATTGTTATATACGATAGGGAATATATTTTAGCATTATTTACTTTCACTAAACAATCTTTAAGATATGTTTATTTGGGACCATTTCATGAAAATCGGAAGATTGCTGCATCCCGATTTGCAATAACCTATATATATTATAATTATATCGGTAGCTTATACAAATATTATGCATCGAGTTGTTTCTCTCAGCTGATAATTGATATTATGAAGTCTGTGAGAGCGCCGCGACCGTCAGTTGCGTGGAACAAATCGAAAGTAACACAAAGAAAATGCAAAGAAACGAGGAAATCGATCGGGTCGTCTTATAATATTCAGTGCATCTATTGTAGATTCGTCGGCGCAGCTGATTGGTCGCGCCATGTTGGTATCGAAAGCCACCGATATATCGGATTGTCAGGCCGGCGTTCGATTGCAATATGGCGCGTGTTCTTTCCGGTGGACTTCGCAAGCTCGCGGCTTAAGATCTCGTCTTCCGGCGACGTCGCGCCGACTGTCATAATCAGCCAGCTTCCGGAATCGCGCACGAACATGCGCGAGCGAGAGAGCGTGAGAGAAGGAGAGACGCACCTGCGTGACGCGCAGCTGCGACCTTCGACGCCCTTGTACCGCTGGCGACCGCTCCGGCGGGAGAGACGTAGCCGTCATTTTTACACAAGACGCAAGTAGAGGTCCACGCGCGCGGCTACTCCGTCGTCACTTCGCTCGGCAGCTGGGGAAGAGTGTCGCGTCCGCCGGGACCGTCGTCTCCCGCCAAGTCGAGGAGGACCGGAAACGCGAAAGTGTTCCGTCGAGAGTGGTGGACGTAGTACGCGCGCGCCAGTGCCTTTTGAGATAGTCTTCCGCGGGTGTAGAGGAGCAGGAAGACGAGAACGCTTTTCGGAGTGTCGGTGAGTACGTGTGTCTGCGGAAAAGTTGTGCGATTGTTGCGTAGGGAAGCGCGAAGAATAGCGACTGTTATGTAAAGGATCAAATTGGGACGTTTGAAAGACGTATTTCAGATTCGTTCACGGACGGACAAGTCTCGTCTAGGAAGATACGTTTATATTCATTGTACAGAGGGCTCATTTTTGCAGTGCCATTGTTAATTATTCCCACATTTAATCTTACATTCATAACAATTTATTTCTGTAGAATTATTGACTAGTCATTGGAACCGATTAATTGTATTTCCTACGGTATTTTCATCTAATAATATACCTGCCTAATAATACTTTCAGATCTCTCTCTCTCTCTCTCTCTCTCTCTATATATATATATATATATATATGTATATATATATATATACATACAAATTTGTTTTTGACGTTTATATAATCCAGAAATAAACAATAATTTATTACGACTTATATAATTCGAAAGATTAAGCGAATAAAAGTGTCGATATAATAAGAAGGCTATTCTTGGTTTGTTTGTTTCGTTAGCCGTTAACCCTCCGTGGTAGGGGAAGGTTGTCGGCGGGGGTGAATTCAATGTACTCGCTTCGCAGAGAGAAAGTAAGCATTAGACTGCTCATCTCGACGACTTGTTTGATTATATCTGCTTCATTCATCTGCCGCGTTGCAATTCCAGCGCAATTCAATTTTGATATCAGTAATGAATGTGGTCGCGCAATGACAGAAAACATTCCGCTGGGAAAGAAAGAGAAAAAGAGATCATCTTTTCGTCTCTGTTCGTGCAACGAAAGGACATTGATAAATTATATTTATTATTATTATCTTCATTTTGAAGGGAGCCGTTTTCATATTCGCCGATTGTATATAAAGAGAGGGATTGTCGAAACTTCTCAGAGTGAGATTTCTTTCAAAGAATACAGCACCAAGAATCGCTCAAATTCAGACAATTTTTCACTCGCATAGTATAGTGTATCGGAAAAGAATTCTTGAATAAACAAAATGAATTATTTCGCTAAAAATCAAAATGTTTGTTTGTGCGCATAAATGGATTTGTTTGTTGATGACTCTCGTTACGACGACTTGTGTAGCTGCAATTTGTCATTGTGTAAAATCCCTTTCATCGTCATTTTCATTTTTGGGAAGAGTCATACGACGGGCAAATCGGGCAAATTTAGTGGATGTTGGATGACGCACATTTACTTTTTGGCCAAAAATTTGCGCACACTGACGGCCTGTATAGTGCAAATTGATCTTTGTTAAAGTTTTCCGTCCGAATGTAAAAATAAATTGGTAATATCCGTGGATACGTCCAATTCTTCAGCAAACTTTCTACACGTCACATTCGATAATTCCGCGTACTTTTTCGACGAGTTCGCCATGGTCTTCGGTCGGCCTGACTTTGAATCGTCATTGGCATTTTCATTTCATTTCGTTGATGAGTCTGGTAAGCCTTTGAGGGGGGAGAAGGAAAAGAATGGGCATACGTGAAACATAGAATGGAAGCGGTTCATTTGCGGTCTCGAGTTCACAGGGACGTTTCTGCTTATTTTGCTTTTTCACCTTTGACCATATAATTTTATCCAGCAGGGTGGGGCATTTAAATTAATATACACCTTACATAATATAATAAGAAATAAAGCAAAATATAGGGGGGTGCGCCGTTAGAATCCGGGCGGAAAAGTCGTTTATTAGAGCCAATGTTAAAGAAATATTTTTTTAATTCAAGGGACCATATTAATCGGAATTTTACTCATGTCTCCTGAGCATCAGGAAAAAGTCGATTTTTATCAAAAATGTTGGAGCATTTTGCTACTTAACATTTTTCCTCCTTTCCTCGAAATCTATCACGTTGCTAAGTGGTTAATATCAACATTTTCATGTTTCAGTTAATTTGTAAAAAAAAAAGAAAAATAAGGCATGTTTGGAATTCTTAATATGGACGTATCAACAAACCACGTTTTCAAAAGTGCATTTCCACTTTTAGTCTTGTCAGTGTCATATGTTCACTGGACTGAAACATTCGCTCTTACGAACGACAGTTCTCGCTATCGCTCGATGTGAATTTCCACTCGCTCAGCGCAGAATTTCGTTCCGAGGGAAATTTCGGAGAAACGGAAACCGAGTAAAATCGCGGCTAAGAGGGGAAAAGCTCGGTCAATTTTCTCGTTATTCTCTCATTAATTAACGAAAAAGAGCACAACGCACGAGCGCAAGAAGTTCACCGATTAGACAAGCTATCGCGGTCTGACGAACTGTGATCCACCAATCGGGAGTGCCGGGAGTGAGTCTCCTCTCAGTGCAAAAAACATTCGACAAATCCGCGCGAGGCCTTCGACATATATCTCGCAGGAGATTGCAATTGCTCCCACGGTAAACACCAATCTCTACGGACGACGGACGAAAATAAACACACGATACATAGCTTTGCACGCGCGAGCAGATCGATCTACGGGCATGATCGTGTCGCCGCTACAATTGAGCGCGATTTTCCTACGTTTCCTTTCGACGAATATTCGTGTGTATCATCACTGTTGATTGAATCAATGATCATGATAATACAAACAAAAATATTCAGAAATGATTCGTCTGAAATTTTCGACATTACAATGTCTCGGAAACTGCGCATTAATAGAATCTTCTGCAGCGGAGATACATCCAGAATCTTGTCGCGAAATTAATCCTTCCTTCGTGCAAGTTTATACATAAATGAGATGACAATAATATACAGGAATAAGTTTCCGTCGTTTGCCAGATTCACGCGGGCAAATAATAGTCTGAATTTCAAGTTGTGCCGACGTGGGCTGATGACATTTGGAAGTTAGACATCCCCCCCCTCCCTCTCTTTCCTCTCTCGTCGTGACCAACAACGGTTCTTTCCGCAACGTAGTGCATAATTCCGAATCAAAATTCTGACGTTGCTTTCACCCTCTTAACATTGCGGACCAGACATTTTATTGCTAACCGTACCCAGTAGCCGGGTATGTTTTCGCCTCTAACGACGCAATATGAAATACGAGATATCTCGTCATCCGGCCCCTAACGACGAAATAAGAAAGACGAGATATCTCGTCATCCGTCCGCAATGTGTTAAGTGTAGTTTGATTGGGTAAAAACTTGCTTTGTTAACATTTGTCAACTCTTCTCTCTTGAACCGTTGATTCTACAGATATAACAACTTATTTTTACTCTGAAAACAGTGGAAATTTAAGATATCATTATGATCAAAGAGTAAATTATTCAAATTCCACGTATTTTTTCTTACCTTGGCTGTGTTTTAGAATGAAAGATTTAACATAATTTCCACTCGGGATAATACCGTTTGGGCACATGTTTCGCTCGGTTCCGATCGATCAGCGCAGTTTCGTCCGGTAATATTGTCGATGAATAATGCATGTGAGGATCGGTGATATTGGGAGTGTCGTGTACAACAACAATGTTCGCTCGATCGATCGGATCATCGGCGCCGTTATCGCGGGCAATTAAAGTGCATTCGCCGATACTCGGTTGTCTTCTCCTTGCGTCCTCCTGGCTATCGTCATTCCAAGTCTAAGTAATGACAGCATCAATTTCCGCGTGACGTCGTTGCTCGCGATTATCTGCTTAGAGCGACGTTTTCTAAACTGCGCTGCAGTATGTACATGCAAATAGCGCAAGGGAAAAGAGAGAATAATTCCGAGAATTCCCTTTCTAAATTTATCGCGTATTTCGCTCGAAAAGCAGAACGATAGTTAATTCGAGTGATTTTTCACTCATTGAACGAATTCGAAATTTGCAAACATCTCATTTTCACGTGCAGTTACACATTTCGATGTATAAGATTTATTCTTGAATTCTCATCTCACATTAATTTCACGATACAAGTTCTTTAAAAAGCAATCAGTCGTTACTGCAGCTTTCCTTATTTTTTTCACCAAGTTTTAAAGACTATTTTTTCATAATTTGGTGCTACATACATTCTACGATGCAAGTGATATATAAAATAACAATTATTTCTTTTAGAGAGAAAGAGGGATTACAAAAAGTAATTATCGTCGCTAACGAAGACAAGAAAATAATTCTGTTATCATTCATTGATACTGAAGCTTACCTCTAGAAAGCTTCATGTATTAAAGCTGTTAAAACTTTAGAAATTCGATTTTTGATCGATTGAAACATTGCACGAGAATCCACTCGAACGAAACATTCACTCATGTGACGTTTTTGTCTCGAGCGAATTTCCACTCTTGTTCCGAGTGAGACTCGACGAAATTTCGAGAGCTGCCGATCGAAAATATTGCTTCCTGTCTTATCGATGGAATTAGTTAAATTTGCAAATTGCGGTCGATATTGCTTCTTTTTTTTCTCTCTTGTAGAACAACGTGTAGGTGAATAAATCTTCCGTTATGCGCGAGTTAATGTCGATGCCGGAAGATCACTGCGTTACGCGCTTGCTACCTTGTAATAATCTATTCCGGTATATTTATCCTCCCCGCTGCCGTGTATCACTGAGTCTTCATCAACGATTGCGCGCAATTAAATGCAATCGGGGATGCATTAAGCGGGTGATATCGAGCGAGCGCGCAGGTCTGCACGCGAGCGACCCCGCGGGATAGTCTCGATATGCGCGGGATGAAAAAAATCCTTCCGTGCCGGCAACTCTGCCGGAAGAATAGATTATGCTCTGCTTTCGTCCTTTTGCGTCTGATGCACGCACGCCTGTGTATATATACGAGAGAGATGTTCGCAGAAATATTTAAATGAGAGAAAATTGGAATTTTCTCGAGCGCGTGTACACCCGCGGCGTGAGATTTTCTCGCGCACTTTTCGCGTTTAGCTCCGGCTCGCTTTATGATTTTTCGAAATCTATACATAGAAAAATATACACTTATATGTCTAATTATTTTATCACATGGAAAAATCTCAGTTCGTATAATTAAATATATATTAGAAATTCTTTACCAGAACCCCACTTCTTTCTCGATATTTTCATCTTCCTTAAGACACAAAATATTAGA